GTGTGTGTGTTTGTGTGTGTCTGTGTGAGAGAGAGAGTGTGTGTGTGAGAGTGTGTGTGTGTTTGTGTTTGTGTGTGTGTGAGTGTATGTTTGTGTGTGTGTGAGTGTATGTTTGTGTGTGTGAGAGAGAGAGATAGTGTGTGTGAGAGTCTGTGTGTGTAAGACCATAAGACCATAAGACCATAAGACATAGGAGCAGAAATTAGGCCATTCGGCCCATCGAGTCTGCTCCGCCATTCAATCATGGCTAATAAGTTCCTCAACCCCATTCTCCTGCTTTCTCCCCGTAACCCTTGATCCCCTTGATAATCAAGAACCTATCTATCTCAGTCTTAAATGTACTCAATGACCTGGCCTCCACAGCCTTCTGTGGCAGTGAATTCCATAGATTCACTGCTCTCTGGCTGAAGAAGTTTCTCCTTATCTCCATTCTAAAAGGTCTTCCCTTTACTCTAAGGCTGTGCCCTCAAGTCCTAGACTCTCCTACCAATGGAAGCATCTTCCCAACATCCATTTTATCCAGCCATTCAGTATTCTGTAAGTTTCAGTTAGATCCCCCCTCATCCTTCTAAACTCCAATGAGTATAGTCCCAGAGTCCTCAAACGTTCCTCATATGTTAAGCTTTCCACTCCTGGGACCATTCTCGTGAACCTTCTCTGTACTCGCTCCAGGGCCAGTACATCCTACACTGATATTTTCGAGGGATTTTGAAAACATGCATGGAATTATTGAGTCTAGTGACCCTTCGTCAGAACACTGGACTCAAAACATTAACTCTGTTTTTCTCTCTACATATGATACCAGACCTGCTGACATTCTCCAGCAATTTTTAGTTTTGTTTCAGGTTTCCAGTATCCGCAGTTCTTTGTATTTATTTTTATTCACATGAATAGTTCAGTTCAGTTTCTGGACATCTTTCTCAGATGTCTGTCATCCTTTAGAATTCTCTACCTCAGGCTGTGGAGGCTCTGTCTTTAAGTATGTTTAAGGTAGATATTAATAGATTTCTGATCATTAATGGCATACAAGGTTATTGGGGGTTGGGGGTATAAAAAGCATTTAAGTGCTCAATCATCAACAATCATGTTCATGGCAAGGTAGGCTCGATGGGCTGAATGGCATACTCCTGTTCCTTTATCCCAATGTTGCATTCAGTTTATTGATATTTGAAGTGTCACCCACTCCTCATTCTACGCAGAATGTTAATTCTGGATGTCAAAATAAACACTTGTACACATCTCCTAGCAACAAAAATTATGATATTCAGACAGTTTACTAAACTGTCTAAAGCCCTGAGTTGACATTTCACTCTTTAATATATCATAATGCCTTACGTAGTTTGTTTTCATTCAACTAAGTAACTGAACAACAATTGTATTGCATTTCAGAGAGGAAGGTTACACAACACACTGAGAGAAAAAAAACTCTCATCTCTGTTCTGAAAGAGTGATCCCCTCATTTTAAACAGTGCCCCTTGGTTCTGGGCTGACCCCCAAGAGGAAACTTTCTTCCCACATCCACCTTATTAAGGCCATTTAGAACCTTATATATTTCAATCAAGTCAGCCCTCACTCTGTAAACTCCAGTGAAAACAAGCACAGTCTGTCCAATCTTGCCTCATTAACCAGCCAACTCATTACAGGTATCAATCTCATAAACGTCCTCTGAACCACCTCCAATGCAATTACATTCTTCGTTAAATAAGGAGATCAAAATGGCAAGCAGTATTTGAGATGTGTTCTCACCAAGGCTTTATATAACCAAAGCATAACATCCTTACTTTTATGTTCAATTCCTCTCATTAAAAGGATAGCGTCCTGTAATAAACCTTATTAATCCCTTGCTGTACCAGCATACGAACTCTGTGATTTATGCAAGGGCAGCTAAGGTGGGAAAACCTCACAACCTTTAAGAAGTACTTGGATGAGCACTTGAAATATCAAGGCTATGTGTCAAATGCTGGAAGTGTAGATTTAGAATAATTTTTTGTTGGTGTAGACTCAATGGGCTGAAGGGTCTGTTCTGTACTGTACGATTCTATGATTCTATGCAGTAGAAACCCAAATCTCTCTGAGTCCTGGAATTCTGTGGTCATTGTATGCTTATGTAATACTCTGTTTTTATATTCTCCATGCCAAAGTGAACAACTACACATTTTGCCACATTATATTCCTTCTGCCAGATTGTTGCTCAGTCACATAACCTATCCTTAGCAGTCTGCATCCTTGTTTTGTCACCTCTACTAAATGGCTTCAGACCTATCTTTGTGTTTTTGCCTTGCTGTTCAAAAAACTGGAGAGAGCTTTATTCTGCGTCTAACTCTGTGCTGTCCTTGTCCTGGGGAGTGTTTGATGAGGACAGTACAGAGGAAGCTTTACTCTATATCTAATGCCATGCTGTCCCTGTCCTGTGAATGTTTGATGAGGACCATGTCGAGGAAGCTTTACGCTGTGTCTAACCCCATGCTGTCCCTGTTTTGTGAATATGTGATGCGGACAGCGTGGAGTGAGCTTCATGCTATGTCTACTCCCACGCTGTCTCTGTCCCACGGGGCATTTGATAGGGATGGTGTCATGGGAACTTTACTTTCAGTTTAAAAGAGTTAAGGGATGTTTACTCTGTATCTGGGCCTGTGCTGTCCCTATCCTTCGTGGGTCTGATTCAGACAATTTCAAGGGAAATTTACTTTCAGTTTTAAAAAGCTGAAGGAACTTTACTCTGTATCTAACAGAAAATGGACTAGTCAGCAACGGGCAGCATGGTTTCGTACGGGGAAGGTCATGTCCCACCAACCTGACCGAATTTTTTGAAGAGGTGACAAAGATAATTGATGGGGGAAGAGCTGTGGATGTAGTTTATATGGACTAAACTAAGGCATTTGATAAAGTCCGACATGGCAGATTGGTACAAAAACTAAAATTACATGGGATTCGGGGTAGGCTGGCTAGATGGATACAAAACTGGCTTGGTCATAGAAGACAGAGGGTAGCAGTGGAAGGGTGTTTTTCAGAATGGAGACCATTAACTAGTGGTGTTTCACGGCGATTATTCTTAGGTCCTCTGTTGTTTGTAGTATATATAAATGATCTGCAGGAAATTGTGTGTGGTCTGATTATTAAGTTTGCAGATGACACAAAGATTGGTGGACTTGCTGATAGTGCTGACGACTGTGAAAGGTTACAGCAGGATGTAGAGAGATTGGTGACTTGGGCACAGAAATGGCAGGTGGAGTTTAATCCAGGCAAATGCAAGGTGATGCATTTTGGAGGATCAAATTTAGGTGTGAATTATACTGTAAATGGTAGAACCCTGAGGAACATTAATGTACAGATGGATCTGAGCATGCAGGCCCACAGTTCCCTAAAAGTGGCAACACAGGCGGCCAAGGTGATTAAGAAGGCATATGGCATGCTTTTCTTCATTGGCCGGGGAATGGAGTACAAGAGTTGGTAAACCATGCTGCAACGCTTGTTAGGCCGCATTTGGAGTACTGTGCGCAGTTTTGGTCGCCACATTACCAAAAGGAGATGGAAGCTTTGGAGAGAATGCAGAGAAGGTTCACCAGGATGTTGGATGGTCTCGAGGGCATTGGCTATGAGCAAAGGTTAAAAAGACTAGGATTGTTTTCATTGGAAAGACGATGGTTGAGAGGAGACCTGATAGAGGTCTACAAAATTATGACAGGCATAGATAGGGTGGATATCAGAGGCTTTTCCCCCAGGATTGAAGTTTCAATTATAAGGGGGCACAGGTTCAAGGTGAGAGGGTTAAAGTTTAAGGGAGATGTGTGAGGAAAGTTTTTCATGCAGAGTGGTAGGAGCCTGGAACTCACTGCCAGAAGAGGTGGTGGAAGCAGGCACATTGGTGACATTTAAGAGGCATCTGGATGGTGACATGAATAGGGAGGGAATAGAGGGATATGGACTGAATAAGGGCAGAGGGTTTGTTTTTTAGTTTAGTCAGGGCATGATGATCGGCACAGGCTTGGAGGGCCGAAGGGCCTGTTCCTGTGCTGTACTTTTCTTTTGTTATTTTTGTTCTTCTAACCCAGTGCTGTACCTGTCCCAGAAGTGTTTGATCAACAGACTGAGGGATTTCAAAGTGTGAGAAATGGGACAGCGCAATCAACAATGAGACTGATTGATGATGTTTAGAAAATAAAATCACACACATCTGCTGTCTATCTGATTTTCAACAGTCTTTTCCACAGTTGTCACTATGTATTGCAATGCAGTGGAATTGCAAATCAAATTTTTCTCTGATGTATCTTGGCTCAATTTATATACTGCCTATAAAATGACAGCAACAAGTTGCGATATGGAAAAAAAATGCTTTAATTTGAAACTTGCGAGGGTAAAATTCCTTCTGATTTGGTCTGGGATTTGCAGACACCTATTTGCTTACCTAAACCAACATTACTAATAAACAGTTTATCTAAGCATTACTGAGTTGCTGCTTACAGGATCTTGTGATGTGCCAATTGGCTGTTCTGATTCCTACATTACAAAATGCATTTCAAAAATAACTCACTGACAGTGACACTGACTTTGTGATGCATGTCTTTTGTTCTTACCTGTGAGGGGTGAGCTCAGATCTGTGTATTGCCCCTGTGAGGGGGAGCATGAAATTGCCTAGTCCCCATGGTCTCCTCACTAATTGTGTCAGATCTTTTGGTTTAATTCAGAATCCCAGTGTCGAACTGCAAGTTTGGAGATGGGTAACAATCGAGGAGTTAACCCTTTTCAGACCCAATCTTAAACATTGCCAGCACTCTCTGATCTCATTTACCCAACTCCTCCCACTGCCTCTCCATCTAGGCTTTCATTCAAATAGAGAAAACAAACTGTACTCAGGGAGCACCAGCCCGGGCACCCATCCCTCTATGTGAAGACTGAGACTCACCATGGCTATCTCACCCAGGCTGAGCTGAGCACGGCCCAGTGTCTGCAAGGCTTCCCACCACTGGGGGTCTAAGCGCACAGCCATCTCCGCTGCCTGCACGGCCTGGAAAACCTCGTTAAGGATCATCAGAACCTGGGAGAAGACAACAGCAGAGTCAGTCCACAATCTCAGCAGCAGACACTAACTCCATATCAGCAGAACTCACAGAGACAAGAGAAACCCAGAGACTGGCCAGACATGTGGAGCCCCTCGGGGGAAGAGTAGCTCAGAGTCACCATATCAACACCAGGATTTCAAAGATTAAATTATAAACAGATCATTGGCTTTCAAGGTGACATATCTAGGCAAGCCTTTAGAAATGGCAGAGATTTGATGGGATAAATACATTGGGTACGATTATCACTTCTCTAGAGGGGCATGGAAGGTGGGCAAGTATTTCTACAGGTCAACTCATTCAATCTTGTGATCTAGCTGGCACTTCAGCAATTAAGTTTTGGCTGAGAAGGTGAACTGGGGAACATGGGAACTCGAAGGGCAACGTTTTTACACAGAGGGTGGTATGCATATGGAATAAGCTGCCAGCGGAAGTGGTTGAGGAGAGTACATTAACAACATTTAAAAGGCATTTGGACAAATACATGGATAGGAAAAGTTTAGAAGGATATGGGCCAAGTGCAGGGAAATGGGGTTAGGGTGGATGGACATTTTGGTCAGCACGGACCAGCTTGGGCCAAAGGGCCTGACTCTGTAACTGGAGACCATCCCGCAGTGCTTATTAAAAGACCACGTCTCAGGATCATACACAGGGGTTCACACTGGAGGGTGAGAGCTCAGTGAGTGTAAAATTCCAGCCCACATGGGGGAGGGCTGGGTGGCCCAAATTATGGCAGGTGGTTGGGAATGAGGGAGGGAGGAAGGAAGGTCCAGGTCATGGAGGAGAAAGAGAATGGGGTATGAATCAGGATCTAGCCAATCAGTGAGGGTGGAGTGAGGCAGCGGATAATGCTCCCACCTCACAGGAAAGAAAGACCTGCATTTATATGGAGACTTTGTTATGGGCCAGATTAAACCCCCTCAAAATGTGTCAAGGAGATAGCCTGAACCTTAGTGTTTATTTTATCTGAAGGCAAGTGTAAGGTGCTGTGTTCCAGATGTAATTGGATCGGTCCATCACTAGGTTTTAAGTAAAACACACTTTATTCTTACAACACAGTTGAAATAAAAATGGAAAAGAGGAATTAGCTTAACTTCAACTCTATGGAAATATTTAATAAAGTAATATATTAATTAATTATTAATCAACTGTTCCAGTATAGCAGCATCCCACAAACACACCCTTGGCAAAGACAAATTCAGCAAAACAGATTTTCCTCATGTGCTATTTCCCTTCCAATCCAGGTGAAAGGAACACCGAAAGAAACAAAAACCGAAAGAACTGCGGATGCTGTAAATCAGGAACAAAAAACAAAGGGTCACCGGACCCGAAACGTTAACTCTGTTTTTCCCTTCACAGTTGCTGCCAGACCTGCTGACCGAAAGAAACAATCTGGCAGCAGAAAAAGAACAACATCTATCAGTTTCGACAGCCAACCCCAAACCCCAACTGAAAACAAAACTAAAACCCGGGATCTGTGTGAGCCTGACTCCACCAACTCATGCTTCTTTTAATATAACAAAAAAACTCAGGGAGCTCAAAGCTGTTTACCCACTGCTTCTGAAGAAGACATTCCGCACCACTGTGGCAACACCTCTCTACAAGAGAAACAACACAGAATAAGTCTCTCTTACAGGCCTGAGTTCAAATGATGAGCTGTCCTGATAGAACTGGTAGAGAGGAAATGTTCTCAAAGGGGAAGGGTTGAAAATCAGAGGCCACATATTTACCATGATTGTCAAAGAACCAAAACCATGAAGACAAATTTACTTTATTCAATGACTGGCTGGGATCTGAAACTCATTGTCTGAAATTCTGATAATGTAATTCTGAAGATGTAATCATGGCTTTTGTAAAGGGAATTGGATAAGCATCTGCAGTAGAAATCATTGGCAAGATGAATGGGAAAGGGAGTTGGTATTGGACCAAGCTGAATTAGTCTCACAGAAAACCAACAAAGTACTTTGAAAGATAGCCATCATTATAATGTCGGGCCTGAGGTAGCCAGTTTCCATATGACAAATGACCACAAATATCTGCTTTCATATAGAAAATTCTGGAAATAGTCAGTATATTTGGAGGTATTTACACAGGCAGAAACACAGCTACCATTTCAGGTCTGTAAATTTTCATTTGAACCAGTTCGGAGGGAGGTCACTGACCTGAATTGTTAGCTCTGCTTCTCTTTGAAGCGGATGCTGTCTGATCTGCTGACTATTTTTAACATTTTCGGTTCTTATTTCTGATTTGAGCATCTGCAGCTCTTGCATACCTGATTTTGTCAAACACTAGGGGGCACAGGTTTAAGGTGAGAGGGAGAGATGGCCAGAAAACAAGGCAGACCTATTGGCTCTTTTCAAAATTGTGCCATAGAATTTTTTGTACTGGACTGAAGGGTCAGATAGGGCTGCAGGTTTATCAGTTCATTCACGGAACAGCTCCTCCAGCACTCCTTCAGTACACCTCTGACATTCTCCAGACAAGATTACATATTCAAGTTTCTGGAGTGAAATATGGACATATGACCTCCTGACTTGGCAAGCATTATTCACTCAGCTCTAAATGACACCTGGTTTAACTAAATGCTGTGTTTATCTGTTCCTCAATACCAGGGGGGATATATTTCTGCACATGTGCAGATGGAGTGCCAGTGCCTGTGACATGACTGAGAGTGACATCTGGGCAGCTGAAATCAATAAAGTTAGCAAAGAAATCCTAAAAGTGCTTTGTTTGCCACCCAACACTTTCCCCTCAACCATCACCACTTCTCTTCACAGCCTGCACTCCCTCCTACAGCCCCATGGCCTTCTGCCATTAGCCTTTTGCCATTCGCCTCTTGCCTCTGTACAGATGGCAGGGAGCTGAAGGGAGAAAACAAAGGAATGACAAGGGTAAAAGAGAGTGGGCAGCAGGTGGTAGGGTGTAGGCTCTCGGGAGTTCCAATGATTAAAATAAGTAGTGGGTCAAAGCACGGTTGTGCAGTGGCCAGAGTGGGAGTCAAAATTTTTTTAAATTCACTCACGGGACGTGGGTGTCGCTGGCTGGTCCCGCATTTATTGCTCTTCAGAAGGTGGGGGTGAGCTGCATTCTTGAACCACTGTAGACCATATGCTGTAGGTAGACCCACAATGCCGTTAAGGAGGGAATTACAGAATTTAGACCCAGAAACACTGAAGGAACAGTGATATATTTCCGAGTCAAGATGATGAATGATTTTGAGGGGAACTTGCAGGGGCTGGTGTTCCCATGTATTGCTACCCTTGTCCTTCTAGATGGAAGTGATCGTAGGTTTGGAAGGTGCTGTCTGAGGATCTTTGGTGAATTTCTGCAGTGCATCTTGTAGACAGTACACACTGCTGCTACTGAGCCTCGGTGGTGGAGGGAGTGGATGCTTGTGGATGTGGTGCCAATCAAGATGCTGCTTTGTCCTGGATGGTGTCAAGCTTCTTGAGTGTTGTTGGAGCTGCACCCATCCAGGCAAGTGGGGAGTATTCCATCACACTCCTGACTTGTGCCTTGTAGATGGTGGACAGGCCTTGGAGAGTCAGGAGATGAGTTATTTGCTGCAGGATGTTGCCTGGATTTGAGTGTATTAGCTATCAGGAAAGGGTGGACAAATGTAGACTGTTTTTGCTGGAGCATCAAAGGCTAAGGGGCAACCTGATACAAAAATAGTAAATCTTCCATATCCATGAAATCCCGAATTGTAAATTTGCGTATTCATGCCAAAAAAGAAGTAACAACAAATTCAACTTCCAGGGACAAAACATGTATATCCAAGATTTTGAACCTATTTTTAACGAGCTCTGCACTCGTAAATTCCACCATTCTCACAAGGGTTCTCAGGAACAGAACCCTCGCAGATATGGAGGAATGAATGTATGTACAATTATGAGAGGCGTGGATAGTCAAAGTCTTTCTCCCAGGGTGGAATTGTCAAATACTAGGGGCACAGGTTTAAGGTGAGAGGGAGAGAGTTTAAGGGAGATGTGCAAGGCAAGTCATTTTTACAGGCAGGGTGGTAGATGCTTTGAACGCACTGTTGGGGAGGTGGTACAAGCAGATATGATAAAGTTTAAGAGTTATTTAGATTGAACAAGTAGGGAGTTGAGAGATATGGAACATGTGCAGACAGATGGGTTTAGTTTGAAATAGCATCATGGTCAGTGCAGTAATGGTGGGCCGAAAGGCCTTTCCTGTACTGCACTGTTCTACTCCTATGATTCCTAGCCTTTGACTTGCTCTTGCCACCTCTGTATTTTAAGAGTTTGTCCAGTTTCTGGTCAATATTGATATTGGAGTACCTCCCAATCTCATTTTCCTGATGGACAGCACCAGCAGGAGTTATACGGTGTTAATTCGACATTGGGTTGGATACAGTTAGATTCTGTCTGTCACTCACTTGCCTATGCTGCAGGAATCAAAAAAATGGAATTTGTGGTTGAATTTGCCCAGACTTTCTGGTAGCGATGGCCAGATCACTTCATCTAGGAATGACCTCCCTATCTGAGTGCTAGGAGTTGTGCTGATGCACAATGGAGTGCATTCAGCAGGCTCAATTACTGACTCTCACTGTTTAAAAAGTCTCCACCCGGATTCAGATCATTCTCCGGATAGGGGAGCAGCGCGGATTGAGGAAGGGTCAGTGGAGGGGAGAAGGATTTGGAATGCAGGTGGAATATTCCCACAGTGTGGCACAACTAGATTTTCAAAAGTTATCCAACAAATTTCCACATGCCAGAGGGTGCAAGCTAACCTCAAAGCTGTGACAATTCAAGATCCTATTGTTGTTACAGTACAGAAACTGGGCATTAACCCCTCCAGTCCAGGTACAGGTATTTCTCCTATAACATGATAGTTGCGTTCTTGTGTGACCTCGCACTATAGAAAATCACTATACCTGTACAGCAGATAGTTCACGTCATCCAAACAGCGTCCACTATTCATCAATTGCATTACAGCCAATTCGCGTTAATGA